AGACGTGAGACGTGCGGATCCATCTGCAAGGCTTTATTGTGGAGAAGACAGAGACGTGGTCATGAAGCAGGCAGGGTCAAACAGAGGCAGACAGGTATATGGGGGGCAAGACACAAGAACAGTCCTAGGGCTAGCGTGGGTCGACGATGGGCAGACAGAGTCAGAAGGGGCAAGACTAAGGGAGAAATCCAGGAAACCAGGCGAAGATCAGAAACCGGGAAAACAGCTAGGCTAGGGCTAGGGCTAAGGCTAAGGCTAAGACTAAGGCTAAGGCTAAGGCTAATGACTAAGGCAAAGGCAAAGGCAAAGGCTAAGGCTAAGGCTAATGACTAAGGCAAATGACTAGGGCTAAGGCTAAGGCTAATGACTAAGGCAAAGGCTAAGGCTAAGGACTAAGGCAAATGACTAGGGCTAGGGCTAGGGCTAGGGCTAAGGCTAAGGCTAAGACTAAGGCTAAGGCTAAGGCTAATGACTAAGGCAAAGGCAAAGGCAAAGGCTAAGGCTAAGGCTAATGACTAAGGCAAATGACTAGGGCTAGGGCTAAGGCTAAGGCTAAGGCTAATGACTAGGGCTAGGGCTAGGGCTAAGGCTAAGGCTAAGGCAAATGACTAGGGCTAAGGCAATGACAAGGGCTCCGTAAGGTAGCTATCTCTAGGAGAGTGATAAACGCTGAAACAATACTCGGCAGAGGGAAGGGATCAGAGTGAGTGTTAAATAGTGAGGGAGTGATATGAAACAGCTGGGTGCAATCAGTGTAAACAGGTGTGTGCAATTCGTGCTGAGTGCAATCAGTGCAATGCATGATGGGAAATGTAGTCCGGGGTGATGTGCAACAGTGTGTAGTGCGAGAGTCAATGAATTGGAAAGTTCATGAACCGGATTCGTGACACTTATATTACACATTACTTTCTTAGGTAATACACTGTAAGTACACATAAGTGCACATACTGCAAAATAAAGTGTAACCCTAATGTTTCAGCTCAGATGTTTCTCCTAAAATAGACGCAAAAGAGTCACTAGTTGTGATTTTGAGCCATAAAATGAATGTAAAGCAGCTCGGATCATATTGAAAACTCAAACCTGAACACAGATTGAGACGTTCTTGAGACAAATGTGAGATCACTGGGGTCTTTTGTCATATTTACCGCTCAAATACTCTTTAAGACACTTCACCCTAGTGTGCAGTTTATATCAGAGTTATTACAGATAACTAAAACTGAATCTGAACAATATAAAAAAAACTGAAATAAAATAAAATATAAAAAATTATTTCATTATTTAATTTCTTATTTTAATTTAGTTAAAATTAATGTACTAAAATAACAAACTAAATATGAAATAAAAATTTATAAAATTAAACATATTAATAAAATAATAGTATCTCAATTATACTAAAATAACACTGGTTAATATCAGCTCAGAGCAGTTATTATTGTTAACAAAAACTATTATAAAAAAATCGTTACTTGAAACAAAATAAACATTATCTAAAAAATAATAACTAATAAAACAAAATATTTCAGAGTTTTTGCTTAAAACAAGAGCAAATATCTGCCAATGGTGTCAGTTTGAATTAAGTTGATCTTTCTGATATTTATTCATGCTTTAAGCTTAAAATCACTTCATTTTGATCAATTTCTCAGAAAATAAATCCTCATATCTTATATCATTTTTCTTGTTTCGTAATTTAAGAATATTTATATGTTTGTACTGGAAAGCAAATCAAAAATACTGAGTAAGAAAATCACATTTTGAAAGTGTGGACATCAGTGTTATTTTACTATCGCTGATATACGATTATAGATTAATCAATATTTTGGATTGTTTTTATTTTCATCTTTTCTGTTTTCATTTTAATTTTAGTTACAAGTTACAAATAAAGTCAGTAACAGTAGTATTCAGCTGCAGAAATGTAATAACTACGTGTAAAAATAACATAATAGTGCTCACTGCACAAGTTAAATACAGATTGATCTTTGTTAGAGCTGTGGTGTTATTTGATTAGCAGAAGCAGGTATTTATTGGCTGCTGTCTCTTTAAGACCAAATGCATGGATATAATGCATGACACACATCCGGTTTCTTTCTCAGCTGTTTACATTCATTTAAGACATAACCGACTGTTTTTACTAGAATACTTGCCAAAGAGACTTACTTCTTGTCCTGAATCTGGATGCGGTTCCAGTAGAGCGGTTTCATGGGGCAGGCTGGTTCGACAGCAGGTTTACGCGGCGCTTTCTCAGTCGCCTGTCCGAATCCAAACCCGCCAAAAACAGGAGGCGGAGGAGGGGGCGGGGCTCCTGGAAGACTGGGTGGGGGCGGGGCTCCTGGAAGAGGTGGAGGAGGGGGCGGGGCATGTGCGAGTCCAGGTAAGGGCGGAGGAGGAGGGGCGGAGCTTCCAGGAAGAGGAGGAGGCGGCGGTGGAGGGGCGGAGCTACCAGGAAGAGGAGGCGGTCCTGGAACCACACCCAAACTCATGCTGATGGAGTCCAGGTCCAGTTTTTTGGGCGGGCTGGAGCTGGTGCCCGGCGCTGGTCTGGCCCCGTGTCCCTCGGGGGTTTTGATGAAGGTCTCGCGGTCGGTCTGGATGCACACGTTACGGAAGCTTTTGGGCGGCTGGTCGTCCTCGGTGGAGACGCAGATGTCCTGCAGCTCGCCGTGCTCCCGTACGGTATTATACACTCGCTCCTGCCGCATCCCGCCGATGAGCGACTCCAGACGCGACACCACCGCCGCATGCTCGCCTCGAACCTGGAAGATCTGCAGCTCGAAATCCGCCTGGAGCGACACGGAAACAACAAAGAATTACTATTAGTATGCAATGGACAATAAAAGCATTGCATAATGCATCAGGGTTATCATCGTTAATTAAAACTAAACTAAAATAAATTACTTTTGCTTCATTTAAGCTAGTTACCAAGGAAACATTTAGAATTTTCATTTAGTTGTTTAACTTAGTTTAAATAATAATGAATAAAGAATAGTGAAATAATAATAATAATAATAAATAATCAAAATGAATAAAAACCATATACACATATTTGGGGAAAAAAAACTAAATCTAATAAAAATAACAAAAGCAAACATCAAAATGACTAAAATATTAAATAAAATTTAAATAAAAAAAATAAAACAAAAAAATAGTTCAACATTTTAAAGAAGTATATATAGACATTTTAAAAAATCTAAATTTTTTAAAAAATCTAATAAAAATTAACAAAAAAATGTTAACAAATATCTGCCAATGTGGTCAGAAAAATACGCTTTCAGATATTTTGACATTATTTTAACAAGTACTGTACAGATATTTGTTCTTGTTTGATCTTAATTTTTATAAATTTTTCAGAAAATAAGACTTAATATCCAGTGTCATTTTGCATCTCCAGTAAATGTATCTTGATTTAAAAATGTTTGATTCGAGCAAACGCACTTATGAAAACGACTCGTCTTCTCTGACTGACTGCGATCGAACGCTGCAAAAAGACATTTCTGAGAAATTGATCAAAATTGATCAAAATTACAAAACTAAAATTTAAAAAAATATATATAAAATTGTATTTTTAAGTTTATATTTTTATAAAAACTAATTCAAAATATTAATAAAAAATTAAGACATATAAAAAAACTACATTTAATAAAAATACAAACAACAAAATTACTACGATTTTGACTAAAATTAAAATAAAAACAGAAAATATAAAAATAAAAATGATTTCAAATTTTTAATAAAAACTTTAAGACATTAAAAAAATTTTAAAATTTAAAAATTACTAAAATAAACAGCAACAACAAAAACCCTAAATCTTAAAATTAACTTAACTAACTTAATAAAGAATTAATACTGAATATATAAAACTAAAAACTAATTAAAAATATTAATAAAAAACTATAAAGGCATATTTAAAAAAAATCAGAACTAATAAAAACAATAAAATTACTAAAACTTTGACTAAAATTAAAACAAAAATTGAAATTATCAAAACAAAATTTTATTTTATATTTCACAAATTTATTTTATTTCAAGTTTTTTACGGTTTTAGCTTAAATAAAATAAGTTGTACTTTTTATATTTAATTTTACTTCAGTTAAAGTTTATTTTATTTCAAGTTTTCTTTGGTTTTAGCTGAAATAAAATTAATTTTAAATTTTTTATACACATTTCATTTTATTTCAGCTCAAGTTTATTTTATTTCAAGTTTTTTATGGTTTTAGTTATCTATAATAACCCTGGAATTCAGCTCATACTGCATCAGTAACATTGGTTTCAAAGGCTGTTTCCTTCTGCTTTATTAAACAGAAAGTCCGTCAGATTCTGTCACAGACAGAAGGAGAGCTGGAGGCCGAACACACAGGGCTCGATCCGACCGTCTCTCAGGACATCTAGTGTTTTCTGTCAGTACTGCAGGATTCTTACATGCAGTTTCTCCAGCTCCTCTTTACTCTCTCTCTTCAGCTGCAGGAGAGCGGCCTGGTGCTCTGAAACACACAAGACAACATTCACAGAGAGAAAAACACAAAGCACGAGCATACATGAGCTCAGCTGTGCACCAGCTTCATCTCAATGAAGAAAGAGTACACAGCCGTGAAATGACCATGGAGGTTAACGTTCAGTTCATTAGGAAAGAGTAAAGATCATTCAGAACCTGATGAGAAATCTCAGACTCTGGGTTCTGCTCTTTACAAGAAGAGAAGAGAAAAGAGTCTGGATAAAAGTGTCTGCAAAATTAATAAATGTAAATGCAAATCGAAAAGAAAAGAAAAAAGAAAACAGAAAAGAAAAGAGAAAAGAGAAAAGAAAAGAGTCTGAACAAAAGTGTCTGCTAAAATTAATACAATTAAATAGAAAAGAATCTGAATAAAAGTGTTAAATTAAATGTAAATGCACATGAAAATGTAAATAGTTAAGTCAAAAAATTAAAAAGAGAAGAGTCTGGATAAAAGCATCTGCAAATGAACAAATATTGAAATAAATAAGATATTTCAGAGATCTTTACTTTGAAATCTGTGTTTAAAAGCATTTATCTTTTAATCATATTCAATGTAAAGCTCAATAAAACTCAAAATCTTTATGCTACAGACTCTGAGTATTTACACGAGCTAATTAAATGTAAAATCAAGTCGAGTCAGTGCATGTAATCTGAGGTGAGAGAGTGCATGCGTGTTTGATGAAACACACACACACACACACACACACACACACACTCACACTAACACACACACTCACACACACACACTCACACACACCCACACACACGCACACACACACAGACACACTCACACACACACACTCACACACACCCACACACACGCACACACACACAGACACACTCACACACACACACTCACACACACCCACACACACGCACACACACACAGACACACTCACACACACACACTCACACACACCCACACACACGCACACACACACAGACACACTCACACACACACACTCACACACACCCACACACACGCACACACACACAGACACACTCACTCACACACAGACACACACACACACAGACACACTCACTCACTCACACACACATACACGCTCCTGTATTTAGACCTTCAGCGTCTGCGCAGGATGAAACTTAAACTGTATTTGATTAGCATCACATGACACACAGCAGAGCCGCGCGACTCACCGGCTTCAGTGTAGCGCAGGCCCACCTTCTCCTCTCCGTCCTCTTTAGGTGGAGGCCAGACGGCCTGCAGACGGCCAGGGGTTCGGTCCTCACCGTCGGACAGAGACGTGACCTCAGACTGAGCAGAAACAGAGACAGTGTGCAGAAAAATCACTGCACTGCATGAACACACACACTCTGTTCCATTCAGTACTCGTATTTAATACTTCAGAACTAGCCAAAACTAACAGAAAGTCACATTCATTTATAAAGACAATGTAACTGGCCAGCATGGCAACATGATATAAGTCCAGCTGTGAGAGAGAGAACCTCCACCGAAACATCTGATCATCTGTGCTGATTCTCACCAAAATGCAAAAAATAAAATAAATAAATAATGGGCAACAGCAAAATACAGTAAAATTAAATAATTTCAATAATTAAAAATTAATACTGCTAATAAAATACTGTTACTGGTTGCTTGTGTTATTTCACAGTGCATTAACTAATATTAACAGATACAACTTTTGATTTACAAATGCACTGATAAATGTTTAAATTAGCATCAATAATAATACAAATAATAATAATAAAATACTTGATACTAGAAACGTTTTGCAATCTTTTATAGAATTTATTTCACTAATCATGTTAACAACAGCATGAAGTAAAGATTGAACATGTTTTCTGTGCATTAATGAATGATCACACTGATTGTGGTGTAATTAATCATCTGTATGATTACAGTATTGTACTGTATTGTGATGCTCTGTGGGACTCTCGATAGAAATAATGAAATGATAAATAATAATAAATAAATAAAATTATAGTATTTCTATTTTATAGGGACAAAATGCAATGTGTTCATTGCCTGTAAACAACATTATTAATCAATTAATTTAATTAGTAATTATTAATTAATTAATTTATTTATTTATTTATTGCCAGTAACTTATTTCAGTTAAATTCACTGACGTGTAGCAAAAACGTTCATTTGGACCCTTAAAATCAGATAAAAACAGAAAAATATAATAATAGCAAAAAAAATAAAAAATAAAAAAATTAATAATAATAATAATAATATTTTTAGTAAATTTCTATTTTTATTAACTTTTGTTTGGACCCTTAAAATCTGATAAAAACAGAAAAATATAATAATAGTAAAAAATATATATATAATAATAATAGATTTAGTAAAAATCTAATAAATAGAAAAAAAAACTTCAAATCAAATAAAACAGAAAAATATAAATAATAATAACAAACAATAAATAAATAAATAGTTTTCTATTTTTACAGGGACAAAATTAACTTTTCTTTGCCTTTAAAAAATATTTATTGCCAGTAAATTTTCTTGAATAAATCCGCTGACGTGTAGCAGTGGACCCTTAAAATCAGATAAAAACATAAACTGCTGTAACTACGATGCTAGAAACGATTCACACTCTGAATTTATTTGATTGAATAAGTACGTTAACAACAGCATGAAGAGGGATTAATTAGAGAAGGATCACGTCGATAAATCATCTGTAACACATACTCTCTCCTCAGCGACCGGAGCTTTGCTCAGCTGTCTCTCAAAGATAGACCTCAGCAGCTCTTTATCGTTCTTCTTCTTCCTCCGAACAGCGTCCAGATCCAGCGCTGCATCCAGCGGATCCCTCTGAGCAGGTTTCGAGCTGAATAATATGGATTTGTCAGCAACAGCATCAGAAGACGAATCCGTCGCCACGGATCTGTCCTCGTTCGATGCTTTCTGTAGCAACCCGGTGATTTCAGACAGACTTCTGGGTTGGTTTTTCTTTTTGGTTTGTTGTAGTTTGGCTTTGTTGACGTGTTGTTTGAGGCTCAGCAGCGCTCGGTCCGCGTCTCGCTGTTTGATTTCTGCAAGCGTCTCCCTCTCGTCTCCGAGCGCTCCTTTCTTTAACACCCGTATCCCGCTGAACAGAGCCGGCAGCTGCTGTCTGTTGTCCTGTTTGGAGTCGTTTATCGCAGAAGAGAGAGCGATAGACCCGGACCCCGTCTGTGGACGATCTGAGGAGGGTAAAACAGAAGCTGCACTCTCAGTCTCTTCTTTTTGGGAATCGGTCGGAGATGTCGGATCTGCTCCGGAATTCCCTTCTTGGTTTGAATCACCTGAAACCAAAGAAGCGTCCTCACCTGCGTTACGAGACTCAGAAGCAGCTTTGAGAGGAGGAACGAAACTTCTGTTCGGTAATTCTGACGCTGAATCTACGCTCCGAGACGGCGCTTCTTTTCTGGAATCGTCTGACGCACGATTGAGTTTCGCGTATGGACCGGTCCGACTCAGAATCGAAGCGTCTTTAAGCGATCGCTCCACGAGACTCTCGGCTTTGACAACGAACGGCTCGAGTCTGTCCGCGGATCCTTCATGTTCCCTGTCAACGACAAGAAGACTTAAAGCGGGGATTTTACACTCATACTTACCAAAATTAACATGCAAAAAAAAGATTTTTGGTTTGTTTTCCAGTATAACTATCTAAACATTCTTAAATCAAGATATAAGTGACGCTGCAGCACAAAAGCAGTGTTGAGTCGCTGGGGGATATTTGTAGCAATAGCCAACAATACATTGTATGGGTCACAATTATACATTTCTCTTTTATGCCAAAAATCATTAGGATATTAAGTAAAGATCATGTTCCATGAAGATATTTTGTAAATCTCCTACCATAAATATATCAAAACTTAATGTTTGATTAGTAATATGCATTGCTAAGAACTTCATTTGAACAACTTTAAAGATGATTTTCTCAATATTTAGATTTTTTTGCACCCTCAGATTCCAGATTTTCACATATTGTCCGATCCTAACAAACCATACATCAATGGAAATATTATTTATTCAGCTTTCAGCTGATGCATAAATCTCTTTTTTTTTTTTAAATGGACCCTTATGACTGGTTTTGTGCTCCAGGGTCACATATTACAAGATACATTATTTCTTTTTTTATTTTGAGGGGGAAAAAGCATTAAAAAAGTGAGTTTTTGCTTAAAACAATAAAAAATATTGGTCAGAGAGGTATGATAATCCTAAAAAGTCTGCAAATAATAATCTATAAATAATCTCGTTTCCCCTTTGAATTAACCCTAATTATTGTGTGCAATTTTCCTTTTCCTGAAATGCTAGTTAATGTTAAAATTTTGGACTAAAATGTACTTTTAGGTTATTACAACTTCCCCAAAAATTTGGATTATTATTATAAACCATTTGGTTTATTATTATTATTATTATTATTATTATGAAAAAATGTTTTTACACTTGTGGCATTGCTGGTCAAAAATTACCCACAAAAATTATTCCAAAAATTGCTTATTATTATTATTATTCAATATTGTTTTTTGTTTTATGTTTTTTTTTTCGTTATGCTATATTATTACCAAATCTCGGATACAATATATATTCTTTCAATAAGCACAGGTTTGGTATTTCTTCCTGGAACTGATTGATCGTAGGCAAAAACTGAGGTGCATGAGCTCATATCAATGAACCGTACGATCAACCAGATCCAAAAAGAAGCACAAAACCCGTGATAAACGAAAGAAAACAAACTGAATCCAAGGAAGACCAGCACAAGGGTTACGTTTATGTTTCTTAAGATATTTTTCTTGTTTTTAGCAAAAACTCACTTAATTTTAGTAATTTTTTTCAGAAAACAAGAATTAACATCATAACATCACCATTTTCAACAAAAAAACGATGAACTTTTTAAGCGTTTTGGTCATTAAACGCATTTTGGGGGCCTGAAAATGCAAACTTTTGAAAACATGCACATTTTTACCGTTATCTTCTTCATTTAGACTACATAAAAGTGTACTAGTGAAAACAGCGACGTCATGCGTGTTCACGTGTAACATCGCCATCTACTGGCCAGGCATCAGTAATACAAATTTTAAGTCATTTTATCGGATCCATGCGAACGGGAAATGTTTTATTGTCTGTAAGCGAAAAACGCAAAGGAAAAATGTTCTGTTTTTACTACACTTAGTACTACTACTAATGATAATGAAAGTAATGATAGTACTACTACTAATAATACAATTATTATTAAAACATTATTTTTTAAGGAATATTTACCATTAAATTATTTACCAGAAAAATGTAAATACACAACACAATATTTCTGAAAAAAAACTAATAATAATAATAAAATAATAATAAATTAGTTTTTTAATAAAATCAGCTAATTAGAGATGCTTTAGATTATAAAAATTTAATGAAACCATTCAAATGGAATCCAGAAAATTAATGGAAAACACAGAATTTGCTAATAAATTGTGTAATATTCATTATTTCAATTAATTAGACATGCTTTTTGATTGATATTTTTAATTTAACCATTAAAACAGAGTCAGAGAAAATTCAAATGGAAAAAAAAAGGAATTTGGGAAAAAAATAAAAATGGAATTTGGGAAAAAATACAAATTTAATTCAGGGAAAAATAAAAATGGAATTTGGGGGGGGAAAATTAAATTTAATTCGGGGAAAAATAAAAATGGAATTTGGGAAAATACAAATGGAATTTGGGGGGAAATACAAATGGAATTTGGGAAAAAATAAAAATTTAATTCAGGGAAAAATAAAAATGGAATTTGGGGGGGGGGAAATTAAATTTAATTCGGGGGAAAATAAAAATGGAATTTGGGAAAAATACAAATGGAATTTGGGGGAAAATACAAATGGAATTTGGAAAAAATACAAATGGAATTTGGGGGAAAATAAAAATGAAATTTGGGAAAAATAAAATGGAATTTGGGAAAAAATAAAATGGATTTCATAGGGCCCTATACACTGCTGTCATATAAACGTACGCTTATATAAGTGCCTATAGCTGATTGATTATCACTGTTATTGATCTGAACTGACCTGTGCTAAATAATGACACATTGAGTTCTCAAATCTATCTCTATAGTTGAGTTTCTATAACTGATTTTGCTATTTCTGTGCTGCTGCTTTGATGCAATCTGCACTCTATAAAGCCCTATAAAAATAAAGCTGTCATTTTGCTTCAAGCAAGTGCATCTCGATTTAAGAATCTTGATTTTTTTTTAACTGGAAAACAAGGAAAAAGGTCATTTTTTTGCAGTGTGGCAGTTCCTCCGAGACGACCTCGTCACCTGACCTTTCCTGAATGCTTGTAGCATCTTCCTCATCCTCATCGTCGATGTACGTCTCCACTCTGGTCACCTGCACCAGATACGGATCGGAGGACTCCAGCTCCACGTTTTCCTCCAAACCACCTCCAGATTTCAGGCTCAAAGGATCTGCTACTCTGATATGACCATTAGCATCTTCATCAGGCAATGTTCGGAATGACATCAACACAGCTGTCATCTGATCCGACATGAGGAACCTTGAAGAGGTCCAAGTGTGGTCTGGATCCATATTCCTGTTTGCATTGGATCCTATGAAGTGAAATCCAACAGCTGCATAGTTAGTGTGGTTTTACTCCAACCTGCATTTGCTCTAGTTTCACAGACTAGAGAAAACAAAAGGTCTTTGTGCATGAAAATCCCCGGGTTTCTCTCTCTCTTGCTCCAGTTCTAACGAGCTGCGAGCCGCTAAAGCATTTTGGAAGCACTTTTGTTCCATGCAGTTCTAGTGAGTCCAGTGCGAATCTCAAACGAGAGAAAGAAAACGGAGAGTCTGAAGTGTCTCAGTGTCGCACTAGTCCAGCGAAAGGAAACTTACAGAACTAATGGATACGAGCTCAAGATATTTCCCAGCTCCGGCGGAGTCCGTGAAGGCTTGTTTTTCTCCTGGAGAAAGTTCAGTGCTGCCTTTGGAGAGGAAGGAGTCACGCAGGTCTGAATACTTTTCCCTCTAACCACTCCCTCTCTATGAACCTGGCAGAAATTCACCTGCGAGTGTCCGGTTACTCGAGCGCAGGAGCTGGAAGTGTGAGGCAGGGATGCAGTCGCTCTCTCTGTAATCTCCTGCAGGGTCAGGTGGAGTGGGCGGAGCCACACTATTACAACAGTGGCTATAATCAGCTCTGCTGAGGTCACTGGCCACGCCTCTCTGTTGCTATAGCGCTGACCTGCAGTGCTTGAATACAGAATCAAGTGTGCAGCGAGAATCAGTGACCGTCTGCAAACTTCCTGTACAACTTCCAGTGATGAGAGACTGGTCATAGTTAATTAGGGGGAAAAATGCATATGCATAGAATGCATATAGAATACAAAAATATATATATAATAAAATATATATAATATATAAAAATACATTTAAAAAATATAATAAAAATATAAAATATATACGTATTTTAAATATTTGCATAATATTTAGAACATTAACATAATACTTAAAAAAATGTAAATGCATAAATAATATTTAGAACATTAACATAATACTTAAAAAAAATGTAAATGCATAAAATGCAAGAATATGCATAGAATACAATAAAAATATATAATAAAAATATAAAAATCTGTACATATTTTAAATATTTGCATAATATTTATATCACATTAACATAATACTTTAACATTATACTGGCTATAGTTAATTAGGAGGAAAATGCATATAGAATACAATAAAAATATATAATAAAATATATAAAAATATATAATAAAATATATTTAAAAAATATAATCAAAATATAAAAATCTATAAGTATTTTAAATATTTGCATAATATTTATGTAACATGAACATAATACTTAAAATCATTTAAAAAATGCAAGAATATGCATAGAATGCATATAGAATACAATAAAAATATAATAAAATATATAAAAATATATATATATAAAAATATATACGTATTTTAAATATTTGCATAATATTTATTTAACATTAACATAATCCTTAAAAATAATAAAAATTCAAAATTAACACAAAAATATCATCAGAATATAAGTATACATGTTCATATAATTTTTCTAAAACATTAAAAACTATTATAAAATAATTCTCATAAACATGTCTTTATCAGGTCTGCTGGTTAGTTGTGTTTCTCTGAGCACATTCTGCTCCGGTCGTCACGGCGATCTGGCAAGTTCACGGACTGTTAGTTTGTTCCGGGATGAAAGGAAATTCATCCCAAAGAAAAGTGTCTTAATGAAACAACCGCAACATTTGTCAAAGTTCGGTTCAGAGCTGAAACTAGTCCTTCTACCAAAACCAGAAAATGCAGCCATATGCAGACATCCAGATTTAACCGCTGAACTAGTTCTGCATGTGCAGGGGCCTACATTAGTGCGGCGGGGCTGTAACCAGTCCGGGCCTCTTCTGAGCTCTTCTTATGTAAGAGAACCAGCGCTTATGAGCACTGAGAGCGATTACTGCCGCCTGCTTCTTGAGTCATAAGAACAAGAAACACACGTGTACATTGTGTTTGCATTCAGTTTAAGTAGAAAAAGTGTCATTTATGTAAAGTGCATTTTGACCATGGTTTCAGTTTGTGTAAAAGCATATAACACTCACCATAAAAAAAATGTAATAAATAAAAACATTAAAAGTGTTTAATATTTTCGCTTGACACCAGAGTGTTAATGTGCAAAACATAAAACATAAATAATAAGAAAAGGACATCACAATAAGTAGTCTTTATTTACAGTAAGCAAACTAAATTAAACACTGACAAACAAATGTTTTTTTGTTTTATCGTTTATGCATGCTATTTTTATTTCTTATGTCTGTTGTGATAAATATGTTTTACATAAAGCATTTTGAATTGCCTTTGTGTATATTATGTATATCTATATAAATAAACGTACCTTATCTATTATAACCAATATAGCTTTTTATGGTGAAATAAAGTTGTAAAAAGCCAATAGAATGAATGAATGAATTATTTATTTTTGCTTTGAAGGAATGTTTTTTGTCTTTGGGAAAATCAATATTTTTCATTAATATTAAATCAGAACCAAACCATAAATACTGTATAGTTTGAGAAAAACTAATACAATTTGGCTAAACAAGAGTATTTTTTAAAGATGGAGCAAAGTATATTTTGTCAGTGCTGTGAATAAGTCTGACTCGAGTCTATAAACAACAGTAACCTGTGAGGGGAAGTTCCTGTCTGTTGCTGATGGTACCGAGAACAACAACGACAAACTAGCACAAAAGCTCCGGCGCTGGAGTAAAGGCAGTTAGTTTAACCTGTAACACCAGATAACATAAGTGCCCAAACTACACGTCTGCTAATAGTTCTGAGACAAAGGCTTGATCATTAAGTCCTTTAATCTGACATCTGCAGCCGACTGTGTTGTGTGTGTCACGCCGGTCTAATCTGACATGAGATCAGTGCGGTCAGATTCTGGCGCGTAACAACAGTAACCTGTGAGGGGAAGTTCCTGTCTGTTGCTGATGGTACCGAGAACAACAACGACAAACTAGCACAAAAGCTCCGGCGCTGGAGTAAAGGCAGTTAGTTTAACCTGTAACACCAGATAACATAAGTGCCCAAACTACACGTCTGCTAATAGTTCTGAGACAAAGGCTTGATCATTAAGTCCTTTAATCTGACATCTGCAGCTGACTGTGTTGTGTGTGTGTCACGCCGGTCTAATCTGACATGAGATCAGTGCGGTCAGATTCTGGCGCGTCACGGGTGTGTCGGTATGCTGGAATTTCACTAACATTTACACACACACACACACACACACATGTCTGGTTAGCTATCCTTGTAGGGACTCTCCATAGGCGTAATGGTTTGTATACTGTACAGACCGTATATTCTATTGCCCTACACCAACCCTACCCCTAAACCTACCCCTCACAGGAGACTTTCTGCATTTTTAGATTTTCAAAAAACTTCATTCTGTATGATTTATTAGCTTGTTTACCCTTGGGGACCTCAATTTAGGCTGTGTGTAGTCAGGTTTAAGTCCCCACCAGCATAGAAAAACAGGTACACACACTCACTCACACACACACACACACACACACACACACACTCACTCGTTCGCACGCACGCATGCTCGCACTCACTCACTCACTCACACACACACACACACACACGCACTCACACACACACACAAGACAAGACAATAAGGACAATATGGTCAATAAACGATAACTGTAACTATATACTGCAATTTGGAATTATTGGAATTACTATTAGGAATTTTACTGTTATAATATTTTTGTTTGTTTTTGCCAGTTTTCATAATGAAAAGACAGAGCGAGTGCATATCTAAGACTGTGATATTAATTTATATATTAAACAGCCTGTAATAAATCAGTACGCTAGATGAGGTCAAATAAAGTCCACATTCTATTGATTTGTGCTTATTGGTGAACGTGCAATACATGTAATGTAAAAATAAACTCAAATGACAACAATCTTTTCAATTATAATTTTGATTAAAATATATATATATATATATATATATTATCAGTTTAACTATTATACAGCATGACGAAACTTGACTCAACAAAAACAGGACAAGCTTGACTAAATATGATAATAACTAAAAAGTATATTTGACTAAGACAAAGACTAAATTAAAACTGGCTCAGAAAGTTATCCTAAAGTTATGAACAAATGTTCTTCTACTAATGTTAATAGTATGTTCATTAAAAGTTATTTGGTCTTTAATAATGTTAGCACAAAAACATAATTTATACATCATTCATGGAAAGTTTTTCCTGAAACATTTAGTTCAAAAGTAACGGTAAAAAGTAACAATGTTTGCATAATTACAAAACGGAATGGGGACAATTAAACAGACGTAAACACAGTTTCTGAGTGCAGTTATTACAGTTATTAACATGTTCTGCTGCTGAATCAGTCAGGCGTGACCTCAAAACAACAAATGAGTCTTCAGTGTCTCACTAAGTCGAGAAATCTGGATTTGCTGACGTGCCCTCTGGACCTGAAAGACTTCTTACACAAAGCCTGCAAGTGTGTGTGTGTGTGTGTGTGTGTGTGTGTGTGTGTGTGTGTGTGAGTGTGAGTGTGTGTGTGTGTGTGTGTGTGTGTGTGTGTGTGTGAGA